TTTACAAAAATGTGAGGGGTGTACTCAGTTCTGTGAGATACTGTATATCTGACATTTTGGATTCAACATGGGAAACCCTTTGCTGTACCTCATGCACAGAATAGTTTACTTTTGTAATCATATTGACCATGTCCATGTGCAGAGAGTCTTTAAGAGCTATTACCATGTCTTTAAGGTCAGATACAGAAATTGGCTGCACAGAGGCAGGAAATTCCTCTAGAGAAGGCTGCTGCATGGAAGGTAGTGAGCCTTGTAGTAACTCCTCTGTGTCTGTGTCAGCATGAGAGTCCCCCTGCTCTGACTTTTTAGACTTGATAGAGTTGTAAGTAGTGTAGCTCTCAGGTGGAGACAACTCACCAGGTGAAGGAGAGGCAAGCAGATTGCAGTGCCCATTGAAGAGGAGGAATAGCTGTCATCATAGGAGAAGGCAGAGTCTGGGTGAGGTGAGAGCCAGATGCCGTTGGCGCCATCTTTTTCTTGGTCCGGAACAGGAGAGAAGTCCATCAGATTGTGGAGCTCAGACCTTGAATTTCCCCTTTTCAGCATAGTGGAAGGATGCAGGAGGTTTTACCAACCCTGGAGAAGATAGGAGAGGCACTCTGATGTCGCTGTATAGCCACTGAGCAGGCCGATGGACCGGAGCTTTGTCAGAACACAGCAGTCCTGGAAGCCGGTTAGCCACGTCCCCCAAAATAGTGATTTTTTTTTAGTTTAAAGATTCATCTCCCATTGTTTGATTTCTTTGAAGTTCACAGAACCCTGCTAAAATTGAACCCAAGGAAGTTTGACTATCTCTCTCCCTATTCTTTTTCATTCATGTTACTCATTTTGTCAAAACCTTCAGTACAACTACTTTGGATTCCCATTTACCTCCCTCTCTCCTGGAAGCCAATATTTCTGTGATTCAGAAACCAGGTAAGGATCCAGTCCCGTGTCCCAATTATACTCATTTCCTCCTTAATAGAGGCCTGTAGATTTTTTCAAGAATTTCAGCCAACCGCTTGTTAACTTTTTTTCCTTGCATTATTGGTATGGAAGAAGCAGGTTTTACTCTTAGTAGAGAGAGTGGCAACAATACAATCAAATCTTTGCATCTGCATCTCCTTGGCTACATGATCAGGCAAAATTCCAAGGGCCTCCTCCTGTCTGCAGATGCGAAGAAGGCCTTTGATAGAATAGCATCAGACTACATAAAGCAGGTCCTACTAGCACTATGTTTATGACTGCGCATGATGTCCTGGATCATGTCATTCTCTATTCCAAATCAAAGGTCCGAATTCAATGGGATTTTATCCCAGACATTCTTAATATCAAATGGCACTAGACAGGGTTATCCCCTTTCACCCCTCATTTTCATTTAATCACTTGAACCCCTTTTTTCATACCCTAAAACTAAACTTCCCCATAAATGTGATCACAATAGGAAAGTCAAAGTATCTTGTTGTCACTTTTGCCAATGACCTCCTATTCTTTTATCCCAACCTTTGACCTCATTGCCGAATCTGATTTAGGCATTTGTTTAATTTAGCTATATTTCTAGCTTCTCAATTATAGTCAAATTAGTGATCTGAAATATAATGCTTCCAAAATCCCTTGTGTTGTAGCTCTCTCAGTCTTATCCCTTTCCCTGGGAATATATTTAAGAACTCAGGTTTCTGTAGTGCTCAAAGATCTGTTTAAAATCAACTTCCCATCCTTATTCCAGAAGTTTCTATATGTTCTTCGTGAATGAGATCTGCCCATATTTTCATGACTGGGAACAGAGAACAGAAATAATTAAAATAAATATCTTCCATTTAATGCAAACAATCCCCATCAAATTATGGGTACCTGCAAAAAAAATAGCTATATTTGTGTAGAAAGATGCATACCCTAGACCAGTGGTCTCCAAACTGTGGCCCGTGCACTGAATGTGACCCTTTTGTTGCCTCTACCCAGCCCTCGGAGTATAATTCCTCCCATTGATGCCAACAAAGAGGCACCATTTCTTCCACTGGTACCAACTATGGGGCATTTTTCCTTCCACTGACACCAATGATGGGGCACAATTCCCCCCACTGATATAAACAATTATGTACTATTCCTCTAACTAATACCAAGGATGTACCTAATTGGGGCACTAGTCTTCATACTAATACCAATGATGGGGTACTATTTCTCCCATTAATACCAAAGATGGGGTACTATTCCTCCAACTAATACCAAGGATGGGGCACTATTCTTTTCTCTGATACCAATGATGGGGCACTATTCCTTCTGATACCAATGATGGGGCACTATTCATCCCACTGACACTAATGATGGGGCACTATTCCTCCCCCTGACATCAATGTTGGAGCACTATTCCTCTCCCTGACACCAATGATGGAGCACTATTCCTCCCACTGTCACCAATAATGGAGCAATATTACTTCAACTAATACCAATGATGGGGCACTGTTCCTCCAACTAATACCAATGACTGGACACTATTCCTCCTTCCACTGACTACAAGCACTATGTCATTTTTTTTACTCCTACTGACGCTGGGACATTTTCTTCTCCCACTGGCCACTCCGGCCCTCCTAGAGTCTGAAGGACAGTAAACTGGCCATTTGTTTAGAATATTTGGAGACCCCTGCCCTAGACTGAACTTTGGATGCTATGATTTGGACTTCCTTCTCTAACACACTTGGAAGCACATTAAAAATTAAATAGTCAACCAATGCTGACTCTCTACTCTGCAGACCTTCAATAAACTGGAAGTCTCTCCACTTACCTTTGCAGAAGGTATTACATAATTTCATAGATTGGCTAAATTGAACAAACTAAACAAATTGATCTGGTCTCTTACACTTTTAGAAGACAACCCAGACCTTTTCCCAGGACTGTCACTCCAGTTCTTACCTCTATGGCAACTAGAATTCTTGTCCTGTGTGTATGACGTTACAGACAACACAGGCAATCTTTTCAAATCTCAGTTAGAACCTAGGGGCCCCATTCTCTTTTGCTCCTATCTCCAGGTTCAAAAGTACATTTTGAACCATAAAAACAAGGTAAATTTAGTTCTACTCTCTCACCCACTATGATGACATGAAGGCATTATACAATCTGTGTAATAGCTCCATCTCTGACAATACTATGGTTACATTTCGGGCAAACTGGTAAAATTACTTAAATTGCCAATTCACCCAAGAACAATGGAACTGAATATGCACCTAAACGCACAAAAGCTCTATCAGCTGTACTGGTGATGCAAGCTCTTTTTTTTCACAACTGGTGAACTTGCCCATTTATTATACCCTTGTAAACTGCCACTGGATCTCAATAATCACTGGTAGTTGTCATACCCTAAAACCAACAGCATACTCCATCATTCTAAGGAATCAGTGTTTTCTTACAACAAAACTGTAGGCATCCATTGTATGAATGTCCCAAAAACAGTAATTCCCCTCCATTGCAAATGTAACACTTTTAGCTACTTTTTCAATCTTTTTACCCCCTTATTCTGAAGAGTGTTCAAGACATATAGATATTATACAAAATCGGACTATCCACGTTGTATTTTATATTCTTTTTTATCACATGATCCATCTAATGGGGATATGGTCCTTGTACCTGCCTGAATGCAATACCAATTGCAGTGTCTGAATTGTACTTTGATGTATGTCTTGATAAATAAAGTTTAAAAATTACATTAATAAAGGCAACCAACCACTAAAAATTTGAATTGTGTCACCACTTGGATAAAAGCTTTGGATAGTAGGTTGCCTGTACCTATTTGCCCATCATGAGTGACTACCATCAGACTTTATTTGGCTATACACCAACATTATACCACATCCTATGTTACCATTATAAACATAAATTGCTAAAGAGTATTTTTTCTTCCTTCTTGGCAACAAAAATGCTTAATTAACCTTTAGAGTGTCATTTGTATTCAAACCACACATTTACATCAGCCAGTGATCATTTTCAGTGTAACACAATTAAGATATACTAAATCTTCCTTAACAGCCAATCAAGATTCTCTAAATAATATAATTTGGAAAATTAAGTTAACTGCATCGTAGCAATCAGCATTCTCAATGTAAACATATCATAATCTAGCAAATGAAATTTTATCAAAATGTATATCAATATTCTTTGCTTACAAAAATCGTTATTATTCTATACAACATTACCCACAAAATATATCTTTATATCAAAAAGGAGGATATCTATTTTTATGTCTTGGTAACCTTCTGATCTTGGAGGAAGGTTTGATCAGTTAGGCTGTAATTTGTCAAGCGATTATGATGTGTATGATTATATAAATAATATTTTATAGAAAAACTTTTTTAGTGATCAGAACTTTTACATACCATCAATGATTATGCAGAGAATCTGTGGAAAGTGAATTGTTGACTACATTTATATTTTTTATTAAAAACAATAGATATTCAGTACCCATTGTTACCCAAGATGTCTCTTTTTGCAGGTAAAGCTTTCTAATAAAGACTTTCTGAAATTTATATTGATTACACTTAGATTGTTAAAGGCTGTATATAATAAACAATTTCCATTCTTTAACCACTTGCCCTCCTGAGGATTTACCCCCCTTCCTGACCAGGCCATTTTTTGCATTACTGCACTGCGTTACTTTAACTGACAATTGTGCGGTCATACACCACTGCACCCAAATTAAATTTACCTAATATTTTCCCATTAATTGAGCTTTCTTTCGGTGGTATTTGATCGCCTGTGAGGTTTTTTTTTATTTTTTGCTCTATAAAAAGAAAAAAGCCAACAGAATAAAATTATATTTTTTACTTTTAAAATCATATCCAGTAAAAAAATGAAACAAAATCAAATTTCATCATAAATTTACACCATAATGTATTCTGCTACATGTTTTTGCTAAAAAAAAAATCCCAACACGTGTAAATTAATTGTTTTACATGAAAGTTTTAGCATTTTGAAATGGCGGTATATCTACTGGAATTATTATTTTTTCACTAGTAATGGTGGTGATCAGCGACTTATAGCAGGACTACGGCGGACATTCTGGCATTGGGGGGAACTGACTCGGTATCACTGACATCCCCAGTGACACCAATACAGTGATCAGTGCTAAAGAAAAGCACTGACACTGTACTAATGGCACTTGGCAGGAAGGGTTTAACATGAGGGGTGATCAAAAGGTTAACTGTGTGCAGGAAGTGTTTTACTAGGGGGCCGTGTCAGTGTGCTTTACTGTAATCACACTGCTCTGGATGGCTGTTCTGTGCAAAGCCATCCAGAGCAGTGTGCCCGAGCTAACAGGCAGGAGGACTGTTAGTAAACAAAACAGTCCTCCTCCCCATCAGAGATCTTTGGAAATCACCGGGCGCTAGCAAGTAATTACCAGCCAGGACTCGGTGATTGACGTGAATGGCGGTGCGGGTAGGGCGCACACGCAGCTCGCATGTGCCCCCCTACCCAGAAATGCAAAATCACATATATATACATGACTTTACACACCTGTGCCTCTCTGTAGCTTTATTTCTGCTATAGGGTGGATGGGAAGTGGTTAATGCAAAACGTTATCACCTTTTTTTCCATCCTTTGTTGCTGATTTCCTGCATCTTTGCTGTTACATCCTTCCTATATGCACTCATGGCTGCATGCAGTGGGCCATGTCTGAGTAATGTAAATTGCAGTTTCTATAAGAAGCCTATGGGATAGAGCAAGAGCACAACTGAGAAAGAGGGATAAGCATTGTCGCCCCTAACAGGAATAACTTAAATAAGAACTTTTATCACTGATCAGCAGGTATTATTTTAATAAAAGCTACAGATTTAAAATGATTAAAAATAAATACTAAAATATATTAACAGGAGGAAGATTATTGTATATGAGGTTTTAGGAATTCAGTTTACACATATTTTAAAGAAAAGCTAAAGCTGTAGCCAAAAAAGGCAATCAGAGGGCACAAGACTGATCACTCGATTGCCTGTTGTCTCCCTGCTTGGCCTTTACAGTATCCTTGTGTTGTAGCGGCCATCTTGAAAGAGAAAGGAGGTTTTGCTTCCTCATGTCAGCTGCTCCTTATAGCTAGTGGTCTTATGATTAGTAGAGAAATATTGAAACTTAAATGATATTGTAGTGATTGGGTTTGCATAATCTTTAGGTCACCTGCCATAACCTATTATTATTCTTTTCAATGTTTTAAGGATTTCAGTGTGTTGTTATTTTTTTCCATACTGTATATCATCTAAATTACATTGCTATTTGAATGCTAGTCACATTTTTGTAGATAGGGCCCCAAAAATTTACATTTCATTTAGGAAAATGGGAAAACAGAGGTAATTAAATCATTTGTTTTGTAGTTTTGTACTACAGTATATCTGTCATGTGTTTGCAGCCTGTCAGGGTAAAACAGTAGGATGATAATGCTCATTAATAATAACAGTGACACTATATAGAAACAGGCAAAAAGGGTTTCCCATATTTTTGGCCATACAAAGGAACATCTTACATAGGCACAATGAAAGTATCCCATTAATACCAGAGTTTATTTCTGCCAAATCCAACACTACAATGTAACCCTCATAAGTACATTGGTTTTAATAGCTACTTATGCATCATAAATTCAGTCTTTAAACCAGCCTAAATCTTTCCATGCTCATCATGCTGTTCTGTGGACATAATTGTCTTCCAGCACCAATTAGTTCTCAACCTTTTAAGCAAGATCGTTGACTTCCTCATTATTCTTCAGCAATTAATGCATAAAACAATTAGTCCCAAATGGATACTAATCTAAAATGTTAATAACCTTTTTCTTAACAAAATTGCCTTAGCTGCAAACATTTGGTTAAGACTGAATAGAAAATTCAATAATTTTCTTTATACATTTTGTGTGTATGTCCACAAACCGTGGGTATATTAAGTCTATAAATTGAGCTAATATTTTAATTCTACTTTTCCCTCTGAAGTATTTTTCCTGTTGCTCATTTTAGACAATATATCTTACTGTGCTCTCACAGCAACACTCTAATTTTCCTTTATGAAGATACTTACTCTAATTACTTTGGTTAATTAGATTTTTCTCAGCCAACATGGTTAAAAGAATAAAATAAAAGCCCACAAGGGTATCTCTCTGGCCTTACCCTCCTCCGTTCAACATCACTAATGATGCCCTGTTAGATGACCCTTTTGTTTCTCACTGTGGGGTCTCATTTTGCTACCCTACTTGTTTAATTCACACACCCTTATACCTAAGTCCCTGCTGAGGACAGCAGGCAATTTAAACCTGAGTGCAGCAACTAATTAAATCAATATGAGATAATGAACAGCAATTAGAGGTCCGGCTAGGCACATCTTTTCTTGTAAATACTGTTGCTCTCCCAACGGGAAGCTCTTTTTTCTAATAATCTGTGTATATTTCATTTCCAGAAGCACTAATTCCCTAAAGAAGCAATTTGGAAAAGTGATTTGTTTATCTGTAAAACTGCCAAATAATTTACTTTAAATTGTCTGTGTTTTTTTGTTTTACTTTATCATTAAGCAAACTGAGACAGTGAATCCATTTTTCTATTTGGCTTACTTTTTTTTTCTTTTACTGCTGGGATATCGTACAGGGAATAATTTGCATGTTTTGTATCCAAGCACTTGTAGCATATTAAATATATTGGCTCAATTTACTAAGCTATAGCACACGTGTTATTTGCTATAACAATCAAACTTTAATCAATATGATTGTTATTTTCAGAATAAATTGCTGTAAATAATGGTATACATAGTAAATCATTTTTACAGCATAGGGAACTGGGGTTTATATATGTATATTAAACAGAATTAGGAAAATATCTCAATGCTTAGTTAAAAAATACATTGTGTTTACTGTATATATTTGTTACTAACAAACACATTTTAGTTCTATATATATCAAAACTTTTGATTCACATTATGTTTTTAAATTGCATACTCAAACACTCAAACAGGTGAGAGATATAACAGCTGACTTAGTAAAGGAGTTGGGAATTTTTGCTCAGTAAATTAAATGTTCACCTTAATTATCTAATCATGTGAAAAGCAAATTGTTATTGTTTAACTATTTAACCCCTTTCCTGCTGCCGCCTCCTGTCCCTTTAAGAGCTTCTAAATGCCAGGAGGCTGGCATTCTGGTCATGTGACTGCTGTGATTGACTGTTACAGCATTCACATTATGAGAAAGCTCCCAATCAAAACAATGTATCGGGAGCTTTCCGGTTCCCAACAATAACTGTGCTGGAAGTGCACAGGGCGCACGCACTCAGCACAGAAAAGGGACACATATACAGTATATGCAGCCTCTCAGTGGTAAAGCCCACCCACTGAGAGGCTGCATATATTTATTTATTTATTTATTTATTTCAGGTACTTCTATAGCGCCATCAATTTACACAGAGCTTTACATATATATTATACATTCACACCAGTCCCTAACCCTCAAGGGGTGTACAATCTAAGGTCCCTAGCTTACATTCATACATACACATACTAGGGACAATTTAGACAGGATCCAATTCACCTACCAGCATGTCTTTGGAGTGTAGGAGGAAACCGGAGTACCTGGAGGAAACCCACGCAGGCACAGGGAGAACATGCAAACTCCAGGCAGCAGGTGCCATGGCTGGAATTCAAACCAACGACCCTAGTACTGCCAGGCGGAAGTGCTAACCATTGAGCCACTGTGCTGCCCCCATATATGTTTACCTCTGGTGGGAAGTGGTTAATCTACACATGATTGTGTTTTCAAAATTAGCAGGAATTTGATTTTACATGACTGGGCAACTGAAGTGAATATTCACTCATTTTATTGAGGAAAACTCTTTTAGTAATCCAGTCTCATAATTCAATTTTTTTAGATAATTTTATTATAATTTTCGACAAACTAAAATAAACCAAAACATAGAAACAGTCTGCATTGAAGGGCAAAGTTACAACAAGGCGAAAAGATGCAACTAAACATTACCAAAGTGCAGCTCAACACATGGGGGGCAGTACATTCATTGTTCAGTTATAGCTAAACCACGTACTTTAAAAAAAAGCATGAAGTAGTAGACAGCCTGTAAGTAATAAATAGAAATTGTTGCAGATCACCATTCTTTTCATGGTAAGCTGGCATATCACATCATTCCACCATGACCAGATAGAGTTAATCTTGTATTTAGCATTTAATAAATAATAAGTGTAAGTGTTCTTCATAGGATATAGTTTTTTTTAATTTTGAGGTCCAATCATTAACGGAAGGTGGGCATTTTAAGGTCCATTTTTGGACTATAATTCTGTGTGCAGCAAAAAGGTGTCTGGTATAGCTATCAACAGGTGATCACCTGCAGGAGAAATCTCAAAATTACCAAGGATACATTTTATTGGGTCAACAGGCAACTTGATACCAAATATGTTATTAATGTTTGTAATTACTTCAACCCAATATCTCTGTAATTTTGGAGTAATGAGTAGATTAATAAGATTCCCCTAGGTTGGTCACATGTATTGCAGTTAAGAGTCAGCTCTCACACCATATTGGAGAAATTCTGAAGTACAATAGGTGACAAAGTATAAAAAGTAGTGTTTGTTTTTAGGAGGGGATAAATACATTAGCTGGGCAGGCTGTATTATCTCATCCCAGATATCTCAGATACTGTAGGACCCAAATTTTACTTTCCATCAGAAGAGGGTATTTAACTAAAATGTATTTAATTGTGAGTAAATATGTTAAATGATGCCCTTAGTTTTATCACTGCGTACTATCATATCCAATACTGGGATGGGTTCAAAGGAGGATAAAGTAAAAAGCCTTTGAGTCCATTGTAGATATCAAATTTAAAAATATTTTTAAAACCATTTCTGGTCCAAATCAAACTTGACAAATAACTGCTGGACGGTCTTGAGAGTATTATCAATGTAGAGCTGGAAAGAGGTGGAGACACCAGCCTCCTCCCATCTTCCAAATCCTGGCAGCTTGCAGAGTTCAGGCAATAGGTCATTGGCCCAAAGTAATTTTTACGGTATCTCAAATCTTGCCATTTAGAGTCATCATAGGAAGATGAGGGCTCAATTTCAAGAAGCTAAGTGTATTTGAGGCTAATAGAGGGATCCTACCAGATTGTAGTAAATACACCATAATATAGGAAGAGGTGGGCTGGTTTTCCTGCTCCTAACCAGTCAAACATTGCGCCACAATAAAGTAGACCCAAGGGGTTTGGTACTGCAAATTCAGATATATCTTTGTTTTCAATAGTTTTTTATTTATTGTATTTTGCAAAGGAGGAAATACAGTGGGGATCGAAAGTTTGGGCACCCCAGCTAAAAGTTTGTATTAATGTGCATAAAGAAGCCAAGGAAAGATGGAAAAATCTCCAAAAGGCATCAAATTACAGATTAGACATTCTTATAATATGTCAACAAAAGTTAGATTTTATTTCCATCATTTACACTTTCAAAATAACAGAAAACAAAAAAATGGCAT